TTGATCAATCAAAGCACCAATAGAAGGACCGAGTTGTTCAAGACAACGCAAAACCACTGGTGATGAATGACCTTCCAATTTCGTTCCAATTTCGGCCGCATTCCATGCTGAGCATGCACATCGAAAGATTTCCAAATTATCTAATCCTTTATGACCAAATGTATGGGCAGACAATATGGTAAAGGGGCTCGCTTGCTGCTCCCACAGCTCAGCAATTTCTTCCAGATGAAAAGGTTGCATCCATTGAAATGATCGAGTCAGAACCCTCCAAGCTCGCCAGCTATATCGGTCATTCAATTTGTCAAGACTCCCATTATCAAAGATGACATGGTATAAACGTGTCCCGATGACATCTACGACATCTTCCCTAGAAACTGAACATGCAATAGCTTCAAGGATGGTAACGACAGCGTTAGGTTGATTCACGATCTCGATGGCTAACCAATCAACTAATTGTACTATTTGTTGAACAGTTAAGGAATTCTCCAAAAGCTTAGAAAGCTCGATCTGTAACGCTTCATCCTCCCAAGCACAAAAGGCATCCGCAGGGAACATTGCATCTTCCTTTCGTGTTTGCTCAAACTTGACAAGCTGAGAGTACCAATGGCGCACGAATCCCGATAGATCACGAGCTTTGGAAAATTCGTCCATCAAAGGAACGACAATCTCGGATACAATATGTCTGGATTGTTCGAGCCAGGTAGATTCGAAGTAGACGTTAGTAACTCGCTCCAATACATCGTTCAATAAATTCTTGTCGCTATCAGCGATGAGTAAGACATTGGCATCGAGTTTCATCACGGTTTCTAGAAGGTCCCAATCCGTGCTTCCCTCAGGTACAACATACTCCGCCGTTAAACTTTTGAGTTCTGGGAGGCCAAGATCCACTTCGTGTTGAATGGAGCGCTGAAGTATTTCGCGGATGGCAGAATTGTGCGCCGCTGTTTTAGTTGGCGGCATTGCAGCTTTCAAGGATGTGAATACTGTCTGAAGCCAGGCATTATCTGATGGTCGCCTTCGGCGATCTCCATTAGACTGCAAAGACCGGATGGCAATATCGAAAAGAATAGGAGCATTTGCGACATCTTGTAGAACTAAGACTCTCGTCAAAGTCTGTAACAATGTAGAATCTTGCTTCTCTCCGGCACTCGCTTTTGAAGGAATGATGATATTTCGAGCAATCAACTTCTCTAGACTTTCCTTCCAATCTTGTGTGGCTAAATCTACTTTCGTCATTTTAAACAATGCTAGCAGAGGTTCTGAGCAATGAAGAGAGAACTGTATAAGGTCCTCAGTTCCTGCCACGCGGTAGTCCCAGATGTCAATGAATGGGGACATCAGTTGGGATGATATATTCAAACCAGAATTTTGACTTAAAACCATCTGGCAAAGAGACATCCAGGAACCTAGAATCATGGCGGACGCTTCAGGCGTGGTTCGTACGACCGCTCGCATATACTCAGTGATAAAGGCTAGACTTCTACCATTCCCTGCCATTTTTGGGGGCGAAGAGACTTTGGTGGATCGAACAATACTATTGATAGCAGTATAAATCGCCATAACCAAAGCTCGAAGACCTTTGGCCGGACCATGATACGTATGGGTGACTATTTCCCCGGTCCGTTTCCGCTTCTTTGAGATAATCGATGTTTCCCCTGAGTCCGACCCCGACGTTAAATCAATGTGTGCCTCCATGCCAGAATTGTCAATGTCGCTGATCTCTTGTGCTTCTTGTAATGTCTGTTGTAGGGTTACGATAAACTTCTTTTCGGTGAGCATGCGTGCAGTATTCGCTAGCGGGATCGTATTCGTCAATAAACGGAACAGGTGCCATGATGACGGTGTGATTCTAGGGGAGCATTGTTAGCTTATGATCTTCAATCCAGAATGTAACAAACAATATACCTAGCAGTTTTATCCTTGGGAGACTGCAATTTCTTCAAAAGCCATCGTAGAAGCCATTCCTCTCTACCATGAAATGAATCTGCCGCACATTTCTTCCTGAAGGCTTTCTCTTCGTATTTTTGATGATCCAGGACAGTAGCGACATTATCCAAATCAATATCAACAAATTTTCCAGCTTCACGGATTTGTTCCTCGAACGGTGCCGATGCTTTCTCCAGCCCAGCAAGCCTTTCTTGCGCAATTCGAGATTTTGAATCCTATACAATGATTAGAAAAAGGTTCGGAGTTAATGTACCCATGCGACCTCAAAATCACTTACCATTATTCAAAACTCTCATTGACAATTCGAATTGGTCAAATTCCCCTCCCTCGTCAATAGCTCAACTTTTTTTTGGGAGCCGTCAAATCAAAAGCTGTAAGTAGTATAGTTCCCTGACAGAAAAGATCACCGCCTTCTCAATAGATACTAGAGCGTGCACGGTTAATCATATTGATAGAATAAAATTTCTACCTATCTCGACCACAACTTCATCTCTTCCTTGTACAATACAAACTCAAACATTGCTCATTGCGAAATATGTCTCAAGACGAAATTCCACCAAGTAATGAAGGTACTGTTACTGTCGGGGATATCTCTGCATTGACTATTCAGGATCCTGAACCATCCGTGGCTAATGATCGTCCCGAACTTCCCCATCGTTCTCATAATCCCGAAAACAACATGAAGAGATCAGATCCGTTTCAATTTGGTTCTCGATATCTCAGTGAAAAAGACAACGTCTTCGAGTTCAATGCATGGGACCACGTCGAGACTGATGATACTTACAAGGAGTATGCAGAACTACAATATGCGAAGCAGCGCGAAGCTCCTGTATCCGAATTTGATAAAAGTACGTATTTTTCGCTTTCTCTAATCCCAAAATGCTGTGCCAATTTTTGGTACAATCCTACTATGACGATAAATCATAATTCATCTGAGGTTACTAGCCTCTGAATGATACAAATATAGCAATGTCTTTCGCTCCTATCTGACTGTAGTTTAATTTCTGATTTCTGAACTTGTTTAAACTTTTGTTTCTACCAAAAACTAACAGATTTCTCAAGGCAGATTCAATTCCGATCCCGCCAAATGGTGGAACAATTTTTACAAAAACAATACTGCCAATTTTTTCAAAGATCGAAAGTGGCTCCAGCAAGAATTCCCCATCCTTTCCCATGTGACAGAGCCAACCTATGGACCTTGTACTATTCTGGAAGTTGGTGCTGGCGCAGGTAATACTGCTTATCCAATATTAAAACATAATCAAAATCCTGAATTAAAAATCCATGCTTGCGATTTCTCCAAGAAAGCAGTGGAAGTGATACGTGCGAACGAGGCATATGACACCAAGAATATACAAGCAGACGTATGGGATGCTGCTGGCGATGACCTCCCCCCTGGATTGGAAGAGGGTAGTGTCGATGTTGTGATCATGATCTTTATCTTCTCTGCACTTTCTCCTAGTCAATGGAATCAAGCCGTTCAAAATGTCTTCAAAATCCTCAAGCCAGGTGGCGATGTGCTATTCCGAGACTACGGCCGTGGTGATCTTGCTCAAGTGCGTTTCAAAAAAGGCCGTTACCTAGAAGAAAACTTCTACATCAGAGGTGATGGAACTCGGGTATATTTCTTTGAAAAAGATGAGTTGGTCAACATTTGGACCGGAAAACTTCCCGAGTCAGATGCTCAGGCTACAGATTCAACGACAGAGCAAGAGTGTGGCTTCGATATCATTGATCTAGGCGTTGATAGAAGGTTACTGGTTAATAGAGCCAAAGAACTAAAGATGTATAGATGCTGGATGCAAGGGCGATTCAAGAAGAAGAGCTTGCCTAGCACCGATTCAGAATAAAATAAATTGTCCATGACACACACTGTATTGATTATTGGTCCTTATGTCTTGAGTGGTGCCAACTGTAATACCCTGAAAATACTCAACGCAACTCCGTGGTAGGTTCATATTGTAAATCTCTTTGCGCATGTTGAGAATTGGTTCTCTAAATCTCTTGCTTCGCGTCAAGCTTAAAACTCCCCTACCTTCATATGGCTCATATCCAGCGATAATTCACACCCTTTCGGTTCTTTGTTTGTTTATTTGTTTGTTTGGCATACTTCACTAAGTCTGCAGTTGGAGCTCTACGTCGATTAATTTTAAATAATCGATGGAAGTGATCGATGTAGTCCAAGAGTAGCATTTATAGTTTTATGATTTGATCCGTTGATCCGTCGATTGATAATGTATTTCGTGGATCACATGCATGTTGCTGTAAGTCATGATCTAGAGAGGCTTCAGGGGCGTTATAATTCAATTGGGTTTCAACCCCAATGGAGATTTGGCGTTCACAACTATGCATTGACTGGAAATACAATGCAAGCTGAACTTGCCTCCAATCAAGTGCTATATTGTATCATCTGATATACTTTAGGATTTGTTCGAGTGGCATTCGCCGAGGGATTAGTAGCTATTGGCGCCGTACTGCGGTTTGTATGTACTGGTAATAGGAAATAGACTGCAGGTATGAGAGTCGCCCACGCATATCAGCTGCATAATCAAATCTCGGCGAAGAAGCGTGAGGTAGTCTGGAGTACGATGTGATCGAATACAAAGAATGTAAAGCTGCTCAGAGGTGTACCTGGGTAGACACTGGAGCCTTTTTGCAACAAAGGGAGAATGGCCACAGATTGCATGCTAGAAGCAACCAGATTGCTTAACTTGATGCCGCACGAAGTCGATATGGACCTCTGCAGATATCCCGAAATATGAAACCTTGTGTTTTGCCAGGGCAACCACACTTAGTATCGATAAGGATTACGGTTTCAATGAAATCTTTAAATCTATATATCATCACATAGCCAAAGAAATGTGAAATTGCAAAATGAATCTTGCATATCATCTCAACTCTCCTATCATCTGAAGTTCTCAGCCGAACACAGTACAGCAAGGGTTAGCTCTGCATTATCAGAGCTCGGATTTCGGCATACTAGGACTCTTTCATCACAGAATCATTCTAATGGACAGTGAATAATCAAACCTTATTGCAGAATCTGAAATAGGCAGACGAAACGATTGATAAGCTTGGCTTCAAGTCTTCAAAATAAATTCCTGGTCACTTCTTGAGGGAATACACCTTGCCACACCTCTGCACTCTTCCTTTTGGATTATGACATACTAATCAACGACGATGCCGCCGAAGGAAAAGCAAACAAAGAGAAAACAACCTATCACAACTTGCAGGTCAGCAAGACTAGCTAAGAAGCGTCGAACTGATACGCCAGAGGAAGATCTACAGGCACCGCAGCGAGATATCGAAGAACGAGAGGTCAAAGCAGAACCCGAGTCAGAGGATAAGGCACCACTTGCTGGTAAGTTATATCACCTGCGATTTCTTTGAAAGATAATCTAACATCACTGTTAGTTACAGACAGAGTCAAGATCGAAGAAGGAGGTGACGATGGTGCCGAGGCAGATGACGAAGCTGAAGACATTCAGGGAGGGAGGCAACAAAAAGAATGAGCGACCCGAATCTTCTGAGCGTGAACCGGAGGTAGATACCCCTGATGTTGAAACGGATTATGAGCAGTACATGGCGTACGATTCTGATGATCCTGAGTATCATGAAATACGACGCAAACGTGGTAAGCCTCATTCTCAATCTCGTTCGTGATCAAGCTAATATGGTGGGCGCAGAGATTGAGGTATCGCCGTTGCCCAACTTACCGCGAATTCCTCGATTGATCACAACACTTCGTGGTAGTGGTAGCAACACTTCGGATCAACGCCTCACAGCCAGTTCTGGAACAAATAGGCTCCCAAAAATTTTCGATAAATACGGAACCCGGCATCACATCCCTATCGAGGTCTTTAAGCAAATATTAGACTACCTGTATCAACAAAAAGATGACATTACCGCTCCCTCGGTATCCCTTACCAACGTTTTTAATTACGGACTTGTCTTTGATATTTTTGGACTCAGTATAAGTGGGAGAATCAAGGATTTACTAAAGTGTCGGCCAGTCGAAAAACGGGAAACAGGGTTTTTTGACCTCCCGTTTCTCTTTGCGCCACCATCGAGGCCCAAGGTTTGTCTTCGACATGTTCTTCATTCGTGGTTTCCAGAACGACTCACGTGGATCCAGTATGGCAAAAAGTATGTATCATGGTCCAATCTCCCTGAAGCTAATACGAAAATATATAAGAAGAACTGAAGGGGAAAGACGACGGAGGGCGTTTAAGGAATATAAAGCACGACTTAGACAAGGTCGTGAGGATAAGTTGCAGAGGCAGAGATACAGAAAAGAGCGCATCGAAAATAGACGTAACAGAAGAATTGCCAGGTTGTCAGAAATAAGGGAAGCACATGCGGAGGATTCGGAATTTTCGGATGATCACGATTGCGTTAAAAGCCAATGTGCTCTTAATCCTGAAACGGCCCATAAGAAAATAGATTATATCTCTTCCGGGCGTGATTCGGTTACGGATTCCGAGGCAACGAATTCTTTTGTCGAAGACTCGGATGATATAGGATGGGCGACTGAGGACTCAATGCTAGCACCACAGTTTAATTTGAAAATATGAGCTAAATGTCTGTAGTCGTCACACTTGTTTATCGTGATGTTTTTCACTGTGCTGTTCTTGAACAGGGGGAGGAAAACAAGGCTGATGTCAGTTGCGATATAAGATGGATTGAGTCAAAGAAGTCAGAGGTAGTCAAAAGTACAAAAGTACAGGAGATACTGATTAGGTATCAAGCAAGCACTTATGATGGATTACTGGCGGTAAGTTTAGCAAAATAAAATTGTGGTGGTGACTGAATGAATAGGACAAAGGTTTTCTGATCAAGTGTATAATCCCTTGTTTCTAATATCAGATTATATTATTATAAGCGAGAACAAGGGGGGACGGGGGAGATGCAAAGTCACATACGAGAGTCTTTCATCGCAGTGAAGCGAATTGAAGAGAGTTGAAAGCTTTGTTTTAATTTCCAAATAGAGTCATTGCGAAGGACATTTTCATTCACAGTAGCCTCGTGAGCTCTTTTGTCCGCGAGGGCAGCTACATCTTGATGCAAGTCTCGAGTAACAATTGGTCCCAGAAAGTTGTTGCTATTCGTGGACAAAGACATAGTTTTACACAACGGAAATCTTTATCTTGTGTTAGTTAACAACCCCCGCAAATGTATTAGTGTCATGAATCTGCTACCCAAACAAAGGGGTCTTGACCATTCGCTAATGCAAGTATTTGTTTTCATGAGAAATAAATTGTAATGTAGCAGGCAACTTTCATTCTCTACAACATTCTTTTCCTCTTTATAATCGATATATAACACCCGTAACAATGGGCCACCAACTTCGTGAATATATACCAGCTGTTAATGTGCTGCCAACCTTCCACCTGATCGAAGCGGATATCCTGGATCTTTCATGTGAAGCATTGGTACTACAGGTTGATGGTAATGTGAGACTGGATAAAACAGCAAGAGACCCTACTGCCTGGAGAGATCGTGTAGGTGATGAAGTGGTGGGCGCTCCTGATGGCGACCCTCCTGGTCAAATAGCAGGTAAACTGGCAACGCAACCAGCCGGTCCTCAATTAAGAGATAGGTGCACAATGTCTTTAGGTGGTGCGTAGAACTCACGGGTACTTGCTCAGATGTTTAGATAGTAACTAATAACGTTTACATGTGTATAGGAAAGTTGGGGACGCTTGGAGCCCCTGGAGCCATGCCGCTTATGCTACTAGCGGTTAGAGTGGATGATCCTCACGATGACACACTTCAACCCCCTCCACTTGGGATTGCAATTGGAAAGCCGAATTATGATCACTTTTTAAGGAGAGGAGTCTCTCATATAATGTCCCGCGCAATGAATATCAGAAGGGGAATCCCTAACAATTTTGATCCCAACGATGACGAGCAAGCTAGTGCAAACGAATGGCAAATGAATCCACCTCTATCTATTGCATTCCCTCTGATAGGATGTGGAACAGGGTACGGATTTATTAACGCGGCCGAGTGAGTATTGTTTTTCTACAAAATGTAATGCCTTTGGTTTCCAGTCGTGCTTTTGTCAACTTTCTATCACTTTGGTATCTCCTCAGAACACATCCGGTGGACTTCTCGAAACTGCTTAACCCCCTCTTGTGGATAAGTGCTGACTTCTCATCTTTCAGAAATATCCTGAGCGCAATCATCGGATGGTATCAGGACCCAAGATACACCCCAGAGTTTGGTGTCCCTGCAATGCGCGCTTTCACCATTCAAGATATATATCTCGTCGTTCCCCCAAGAACCACTATGAATGTACGCATTCTCAAGCCTGCATTAATTCGATCTGCCTGGGAAAAGGCATGGGAGTAAGTGACTCTTCTCCATGTTTCTACTGTACTCTGTTTTATAAACCACACTATTTCTTCTGATATAAGTATTGACTGTGTTATCTATAGTCGATATTTGCCACCTGCTCTTGGCGTTCCACCCGTAAATTATCCTAGTGATCTCAAAGATATCCTGCTTGATCAGAATCGACAACTCACGACCAAATATTGGACACCAGGTCTTGGTCAGGTTTTGAAAATTGATGGTGTGGATAATGTGGCACATGGATTTCCACTAAACCTCACCCCTTGGCTACCAGAGAATATAACTGATGCCTGGATTAGACGTAATTGTAAAGTTCTCAGAGGAGGCAGAATAAAGAGAGTGACCGATATTTGAATTAGACGTAACTTTGAAGGGGAAGGGAGGAGGGAAAAGCGTAGACTAGATAGTATTGTTGAATTACGATTGAACTTAAGAATAGAGCTTTGATTATCGCAAATTTCCCATCTCCAGATGTCGTTTAAAATGCCTATCTTACCTATGACTTATAATAATGATGAAAGATTTTCACTTGAAGCTCATTTGTATCAAGGACAAGGAAAGAAGTACCACGAAAAAATAGTTTCACATTATAGCTACGTGCTGCAATGTAATCGAAAGACTTTGTAATGACACGATTGTGAAGCTGGTTGCGTTCCCGTTCAAGAACTCTCAACGAAATTTCATGTATAGGGTACAATGTTCAAGCCAGTGAATAGTAGGAACACCAGGAGTCTGGACTGCAAGTCTGACAACGAAAGATGCTGATTCCCCAAGATAATCGAAGTGTTCAGGCAGTTCGAAATTCGAACAAACTTCAAAGATTGGCAGTGATAAAGACATATATAGTCTACTAATCTAGAAGATTCAACAAAGTAGATTCTGACTTGAACAAGATTACAATATCAATTGGGCGTGTGGCTATGCACTACATAGGGTTATCACGGCGATATACATTCATGATACAAATATCACCAAGTAGATTTATCTGACCGCCCCCGATGCTTAGCTATAACTTTCGTCCATTAGAAATGACTTTTCACGAGATTTGACGTTACCCCTCACTGCTAATATTGCGAGAAGATGGGCATGCTCGTATACCTTACCAGAACCCTATTTTCAATCCCAATTCCAATCCTAGTTTCAATAAAGAAAATAACATTAGTTAATCAATCTCTTTGAATATATCAGTTCTGACAATAACATCGGCACTATAATTGATCAGGTGACCATTTATTAATAAACCAAACCTGCCGACCATAAGCGAGCCATTCCCCTTGGCTTCCGGGGTTTATCTAAACCCCGCCGAATCCGCAGATAGGAAATAAGACTGAGCGAATAAGCAAAAACGTGTTACTTGCACGAAATTTGTTTTTACATTTCCCGTTTTGGATGCAAAAGAATGAAGAATGTAAAATGAAGTAGGGATTAAGAGTTTGTTTTTATCAATGAGTGCTATACTGATAACGTTCTACCAATGGTATCTAAATGGCGTCGAGAAGATTCAATCTGTGGTATGCAGTACGAAGATGTTTGAAAGTCTAGGCAAATATGACGCGAACATATCATCCATTCAATCAGACATGGAGATGTCAGATTTGAACATTCCGCATATTTTGAGAGTAACTATAAAGAGGAGACATTCCCTCGACTTCGAATGCTACAGTTTGCTACAATTTAAGAACATCAAGATCCCCAAGCGTCAAGCATAACAACAAAAATTTAAAACATGACTTACAAAAACTCAATTATCATTACTGGTGGAACCATCAACCTGGGCTACCAAGCTGCCCTCAAGATAGCAAAAGAACATCCTGACTACCTCATCGTCATTGCCTCCCGGACCGATAAAGAAGACTCGGCTCAATCCATCAACAAAAGTCTACATCAAAACAATACTATTTTCATACAACTCGATCTTTCCGATTCGAAAAGCGTGCGAGCTTTTGCTGAGAAATGGATTGCTGATTCCACGAAACCCCAAATCAAAGCTTTAGTTTTGAACGCCGGTCTTCAATTCCCAGCCGGTCTCGTAATGACACCAGATGGATTGGAAGCAACTTTTGCTATTGCTCATGTGGGACACGCACTTCTTTTCTTCCTCTTGTGCCCACATCTCGCGCCTGACTCCCGCGTGGTTCTTACTTCGAGCGGCACACACGATCCTGCACAAAAGACTGGTATGCCTGAACCTGAATACAATACCGCAGAGGATCTTGCACACCCTTCAGAATCTACGATCAAGAATTCAGGCCGCAAGCGATATACGACTGCTAAGCTGTGCAACGTATTATTCGCCTACGCGTTATCGCGTAAACTCGCCGAACGGGCCCCTGAGCGTCATATCACCGTTACGGCAATGGATCCTGGTCTCATGCCCGGCACTGGGCTAGCAAGAGAAGCAAAAATGTTCGAGCAATGGCTCTGGAATTCTGTTCTGCCACACCTGATTTGGTTGCTTCGTTTGGTTGCAACACCAAACACACATACACCAGCAGAATCAGGTGCTGCACTTGCTAGACTTGCGACTGCTGCTGATGTTGAAGGCACGACGGGGAAGTACTTTGAAGGACTAAACGAGATCGAGTCGAGCAAGGAAAGTTATGACGAGAGTAAACAGGAAGACTTATGGAATTGGACAGTCAGCTATTTGGCAAAGGACGAACGGGAGAAGGCGAGATTTGAGTCGCTCAAGTGATAGCAGACATTGAAACAAGTTAACATAAAACTCATCTCAGATTTTTCAATCTTTATTGTAAGAATGATCCCGATAAATGCTGCAAATGTTCCATTCCGCTAGCCAAGACATCACGATTTCTGTTATGTTTTGTGGCTATGGAAAGGGTCTCGAGAAGATCTAGATGCGTGTCACCACAGAGAGTCGAAAGATACACCGCTGTTATTATCGCTGGATGAGGAAGGTTCTTTTAGATGGTTAGAGCATGGTGCACTGAGTGGGGCATGTCGGAGAAAATCAATATTTAGCTCCTGCTGGGCAAAATCACGACATCGCAAATTTTACCTAACAATCCTCGCGATTCCTCACGAATTTGGTCTATATTTGAATACCATATTAAGTGAACCAATGAAAAAGAAATGAGTTACCTATAGAAATCCACTTAATCCCAAAACTTTTGACAGCTTTCGGTTCACGACGGTATGCCTAGCTTCACATCCGTCACACTATCTGAATTCGTTCTTTTTGACTTCTTGTAAAAGCTTGGATTAGTATCACGTCTTCATCTCACCAAATTTACCATATTCTTATGTACACTTAAGAATCCTCCAAATTCCCTTCTGATATTTTGCTGAACCTTTTTGCGCTGTATCATAAGCAAAAACCTCAATTGATCCCGCTCTCACACACAATTTACAACATTCGCTACTCTAGCCATTCAATATCCCACGAAAGGTCATAGATTTCAGCTCTTCGATAGTATCCAAAACATCGAAAGGATCCCCGTTCTTCAGAAATCAACACCAAAAACATGAGAGACTATTCGAATAACGCATCAAGTCTTCCCAAATATGGCGGTACGGATCAACTTGGAGAGAGCCCCAAGACTGGAGTTGGAACACAAAGCGATTATAGTCAAGGTATAATTAGAGAACCCTCCTGATAATCGACTGGTTCTCTTAGCTCGTGATTTCTGACTCTCAAATAGAAGAAGGGGAATCCACATATCAAACTAATGATGCGCGTCGTCAAATTGGCCCAATTTCAGCCATTTTTTTGATCTTCAATCGCATGATCGGAACCGGAATCTTCTCGACTCCAAGTACCATTGTTGCCCTTTCCGGATCTGTTGGGCTAGCACTTTTTATCTGGGTTGCAGGCATGCTGATTGCCGCAGCTGGTCTTGCGACATATATGGAATTTGGTACCGGACTTCCACGAAACGGTGGTGAAAAGAACTATCTCGAATATGTTTTCCGAAAGCCAAAGTTTCTCGCCACTAGCATGTATGCTATGTACGTGGTACTACTCGGTTGGGCGGGTTCGAATTCTGTGGTATTTGGGGAGTATATTTTAAGTGCCGCCGAAGTTGAGGTAACTCGTTGGAATCAGCGTGGAGTAGGATTGGCCTGTATCACAGCCGCCTTCTTGATTCATGGATTTTCGGTGAAATGGGGATTGAGACTCCAGAATCTTTTGGGTGTTATCAAGCTTCTAGTTCTTCTCCTGATCATCATCTCGGGATTTGTTGCGCTTGGTGGCCATCTCAGAATTGAGAAGCCAAACAATTTCACAAATGCGTTCGAAGGAACGACTGGTAGCGCGTAAGGAAACCTCCATCGATTCAAATCTTCATCTGACTTTGTGTAGTTACGGAGTTGTCACAGCTCTCTATAACGTTATCTGGAGTTATATCGGCTATAGCAATGCCAATTATGCACTTTCCGAAACCAAAAATCCAGTCAGAACACTTAAGATGGCTGCGCCAACAGCTCTCGCTATAGTTGGTGTGCTTTATATGCTCGCAAACGTATGTTGGCGATATCCAGATTTTCATGGAATAATGCTGATGTGTGATTAGATTGCATATTTTGCCGCAGTACCAAAGGAAGAAATCATGTCTTCGGGTCGTATATTGGCTGCTTCCTTTTTTAGAAACATGTTTGGATCCCGTGCCGAACGTGTATTGTCTGTTTTTGTTGCCCTTTCAGCATTCGGGAATGTTCTCAGTGTTATATTCTCTCAAGGCAGAAGTAGGTTGCTTCGTATAACTCTTTTCAGAATACCATGCTAACGATCCCCAGTTGTACAAGAAATTGGCCGTGAAGGAATATTGCCATTCTCCCGACTTTGGGCAAGTAACAAGCCATTTAACACACCGTTCATGGGTCTCTTTGAACATTGGCTTGTGTCTGTGATCATCATGTTAGCTCCACCACCAGGAGACGCTTACAACTTTATTCTAAAGTATGTCCCCATTTCCTCAAGATCTTGTTATTGCTTAACTAATAACACTCAGTGTCATCTCATACCCACTTGCGGTAGTAAATGTCTTTGTATCCCTCGCTCTGCTTATTCTTTACGCTCGACCATTTTCAGCTGATCGCCATCCACAACATTGGGCTCCACCTTTCCGTGCTACTTGGCCTGTGGTATTATTCTTCCTTCTCTCGAATGTCTACCTGGTCGTTGCACCTTTTGTTCCACCCGATGAGGGACAAAATGTGTACGAGAGTCTGCCATACTACCTTCATTGTGTCGTGGGCATTGCACTCTTCGGCGCAGGAGCTATTTACTGGTTAATTTGGGCTCAAATATTACCCAGAATTGGTGGATATAAACTTGTTCGAGAGAATATTGTCACCGATGATGGATGGAGTGGAAGTGTTTTTAGAAGGATCAAATCAGAATAGATGACGAGAAGCAATTGGAGTAACAAGGGGCAAAAGAGTAGAAACTATTGGTATTAAGACTTTATTAGAATAATCATAATAATAACAACATATTCAACATGTAACAGAAAGTACAGAATTGTGGTTCTGATGATCGTTGTTGTTGTTGTTGTTGTTGTTGTTGTTTTTGTTGATGTATTGCAAGTTGTGTAAATAAGGCTGAGATATGATATCCAATCACACATACGCTATTCCTCATGCAATCTAGCTTAAAATGCCACCCTATCATACCCGCTTCCCGCCTCCCGCCTCCAATCCAAATGAACATGTTCACAAAGCAACTTATGTCAAACTCACCTTGCAGTAAATTCACAACGCATAACAATAATGCTCCATTGAGATCCACAATCATCTGGATGCCTCAAATACCGTGTCGTTCTCGCGCAAATTGATATCTGTTATCCGTATAACAATGGCACCACTACTCGAAGATCCTCGTATCCGACAGACCTGGAATCAATTCTCACAGAATGCGGAACATGCAACAGAAAATGCTGCGGCAGGAATATGGACTTTTCAACATACTTATTTAAATCCTTGCTTTTCGACTATTGGGAACGGCTTCAATTCGTGTTCAGCACAATGTTTTCCAGGACAAGAAGAAAGGGCGAGGAGATTACGGGAAAGAGGGCGGACAAGAGGGCGCGCAGAGTTTAGTTTCGATTTTTATGACGATTGGGATGAAGATGAAGGCATGTTGGGAGGATGGGGAAATGACGAGTTGGATAGATTACTAGCAGGAAGTGGATCGCATTCTGGAAATGTGAATGAAGCGCCAAAGAGGAAGAGAGGGATGAGTTACGGAACAAGAGGAAGAAAGAAAGGATTAGAAGGCGACCCTACAATTATACCGAGTACAAGTGCTATAGGATTCTTAGGACGGTTACCTTGGAAGTTAGGTGGAACACTAAGATACAAACCCAGCGCTGCAGATCTACAAGAACATCCTGGAGCGCATCGATCGGATTATAATGGAGTTGGAGAGGAAGCAGATGCATTAATGGGAGATGATCTCGATGATGATGTGCGGGATTTCATGAGAGGACATACGAGAAATAGGAGTTCGACACAAAGCTCAGGAGAAACTTCGGATTCATTTCGATCGAGAGGGGATTTATTCCCCAGTGATGAAGAAGATGCGGTACCTTTGAGTGACGAGTTTGCAATGGTACTTGAAAGACGAAACACAAATTCGGGTACGGACGATAAGAGTAGTGGGAAAACGCGAAGTAGTAAAGGCAAAAGACCTGCACAGTCAAGGGATGCATCACGAACTACACAAACATCACGACCAAAAGGAGTCCGCTCGGGTTCAGGGATGTCGTTACAGAGTACCCCAGATCGCTTGGAGCCTGACTTGATCAATACCTTGTCAATTGAAGATTTACAACTAGAGGAGGAAAGAATACGTTTAGAAGAAGATGAAGAAGTGGAAAGGAAACGACAAGCAGCATTACGATTAGCGCGGGAACGAGGACTTCATGCAGGAGAAATTTCCGAACCCATGTCATCGGAGCCAAAACAAGATATAGAGGAAGTAGAAGATGAGCCAACTCCACCTGAAGTAGTCGAGGTGATACAAGCCACCGATTTACCCCCAGCCCAATCGGAACCACAAGATGATGAAGATACCACGGAAATAAAGGATATTGATAAAGACAAAGAAAATAATTTTGTCCCTGCGAGACTACCGAACTTTGGTTGATGGCATTCGATCAAATGCGTTACATGGCCAACTTTGAAGGAGTCTTTGAGCCGGCAACGACGAAAAGTTCAAATTCGACAGGTTTACCATTTTGATGATTTACCATTACCAAACCAGGCTTGTCCGTACCCCGAAAATTGGATCAGGATACCGATCCTGCGCACAATCTTCGTCTTGCGGCATCATGAAATCCTCTCAAACAGAGAAGAATGCCTCATACGTGCTGCGCACGGGAAGTTATGATTCTGCCGTCAACATCAAATGAGGAGGGCATAAAAGATCTAGCCTTCAAGCTACAGCTCCCGGAAGATCCTGCGTTGCGTTGAATAGATTGGCAATGGTAGACTACAAGAACACCCTCCAAAATTCCAATCTCATGCAGAATACCCCCGTAAGATTCATCTGCAAAACTCATTCGAGCGCGCGAAGATTCGACGACGACGATTCATCATGAGTCGAGCGAGCTGGAATGGAAACCGTGGAACAGGAGGGAGGAAATGGACAAGAAAGAGGATTTTTTATATATCCTACTACAGATGACGGATCACAGATTACAGACAACAATTGATAGTCGATACTTGATAGTCGATACACATCAGCACAGACAAACAGGCATTACCAGAGACAGAGACGAAGACCGAAAAAGTATATGCGAAGTGCTCGCTATACTTGATGATCGATGACTCTGGGTTCTCATTCGATGATGTGATATGATATGATCAATCATCACAAATAGGAGTTTGGGCGGGTTTATGTTTATGTTTATGTTTATGTTTGGGTTTGGTTTTGGAGGTGGTAATGTAATGTAATATGCTGTGCTTTGTATGGAGTATGGAATATGAGATTTGAGATGGGATTGGGGACGGGATGGGATGAGATGGGATGAGATGGGATGAGATGGGTTAGAATAGGATATCTAGATATTGTGGGTAGTTGGTTTAATAGAGCGATTAATGAATCATGCATGCTTTTCCTGAAAAGATATTTTGTTACTATGTGGTAAAGCGTGGTGTAGTGAGTGTTAGCTCGTTGGTGTAAATTTCTATCGTCTGAATATCACTGTGCTTTAATGCTTTGGCTCAGATATATAGATTGGGTATATTGAATCCCAATTCGGCGAAAGAGCATATGTACTTGGTACTTGGTACTTGGTACTTGGTATCTAGTATCTAGTAACCCTCTAGTTCACAAGCCCTGATTTCCTCACTCTACTCTACTCTACTTTCGACCCAATCCAGCATCTCATTAACCCCCCAGAATCATGCAATTTTCATCTCCTCCCCCCCCCCCTTTCCCTTCCTTAAACCCAAGCCCCCCTTACCCCTCACAACTTACTCCTCCCCTTCCTCAAAAACCCATCCGCCCTCCCCAACATCTCCACCGCCTCCGCTACCATCTCATCCACAATCACACCCGCCGGCTTAATATCCTCAATGACCCCCGCCACGACCCCCATCAAATGCGGAATATCCACATCTTTCCCCTGTTCCATATCGTATTCGAGGGGCGTGATACCTTTTTGGGTTAATTCTTTGATTTTGGCCGGTTGGGATTCCCAGGCTTGTATGTACTGGAGAGGGGGTGGGATGTTAGTATTGGTATGATGAGTGCCTTGATAGATAAATCAAGGAGATTGTGATAATGAGAATAAAGGGCAAGAAAAGAGGGAAAACAAGAACCCCCCCCCCAAAAAAACTCACATCATTCATCTTAACTCTCAACGGTCTTCCCGACACAACCAACGTCCTCAAGGTATCCTCAAACCTCGCACTCACCACCTCTTCCTTGTGAATCCGACTACACCCCGCCTCCTCACTCGCCACAAACCTCGTTCCCACCCACACCCCACAGGCTCCCTGCATCAAACTACTCGCCAGGCCCCTCCCATTATAAATCCCTCCCGCCGCCACAACCAACGCCGTCTCTCCCTTCAACATCGCAGGTTTATATCTCCTCGCCACATCCACCACCGCCGGTATCAAAATACTATTCGGTATATCTCCCGTATGACCCCCGCCCTCTCCTCCCTGCGCACACACAATATCCACCCCCGCGTCCAAAGCTTTCACAGTATGTTTCGGAGCGCCAACCATATTCATCACTAGGATCCCAGCATCGTGTAAGCGTTTAATGACGTGTGGAGGCGGGATTCCAACAGCGGAAATAAAAAGTCGTGCGCCTTCTTCGATGGTTACATCGATAAGCGCATCGAGTTGACCGTGGGTATAATCGTGGTTTGTGGCGCGAGCGCCTTCGCCTACTTTGGGGAGAGCGAGATCGACGCCGAAGGGGAGAGAGGGGTCTGAGAGATTGGATTTGAGAGAGTGGATTATTTCGCGGAGTCTGGAGGTGTTAGTGAGGTTTACGGAGAGAGGGATGGAGGAGGTACTGTTGAGGTGTGTATCCTAATCCTCCTATACAACCCAATCCCCCTGCATTACTGACTGCAGCTGCAAGTGGACCACCAGATGTACGAGCCATGCCAGCGAGGATTATAGGATGTTTGATACCAAGTAAAGTGGTTAGGGGAGTGGTTATTGGGCCTTGAGTCGCCATTGTGTATTGATTTTTGGATTTTTGGATTTTTGGATTTTTGGATTTTCGAGGTATTTAAGGGTTTTTGTAAGATTACAAATTATGGTACTGAGTTTTGGATTTGAGGAAAGTCAAGGGGGGTACATAGATATAGACGACCTTAGTAATGGATATAGGAAAATAGATGTGTGGAGAAGATGAACACAATTGAAGTGAAACATAACTTAGTAGAAAGATGGATAGATAATATGGGGTAAGACGGATAAGCTCGTCGTGGAGTAAACAAAATCAGGGGTTCTGTGGGGAAACACCGAGGTTATCGGATGGATAGATCTGCGATCGTTGTGATGAGGTTGTGGGGGTTGAAAGGAAATTACAGGAAAGAGAACGACGTTATACTTATACGAGTATATAAATATTGAATCGCGAGGAGACAGTATTAATCAAAATGTCTAAACATCTCGATGTTGGGTATATCGGAATTATTAGAAAGTGCTCGCCAGGTATAGCATAAAATCAATATGATATCCGAATTCCTCATTCATTCCACTCCGTCTGCATTGTTCGACCTCTTGATCCTTTTCACACTTTGATCCTCCATGCCTTTATCCTCCTCACACCTTGCCCCTATTCATACTCTTCACTCCTTCATCCCCTCATCTCCCCTCTCAACAACAATGTGAAATCTCAAACGCTGGCGGTACCGCACCCTTTTCATTCCTCATCGCAAGTAAATGATAATAAATCGTCATACTATCCTCAGGACTGTCATGAAGCAAGCTACGCCACTCGCTCTTAAACATAATATACAACGCCGGCCCGAAACCATTAAATTTGCGTGCCGTTTCATAGGCGATGATAGTACCACGTTCACATTTCTGAAGAACCATCAAGAATATCCAAAGACGACATGCTGATCGAGGCCAAGTCCATTGAGGGACGCTTCCAGTTGTGATTTCGTCTCCGCCGGGAAAATCGCGAAGTTCGGCTTCGAGATAGCCTGCTAGTCGAGATTTCGCATATGGAGGTGGGAAAGCAGATTCCGAGTGTTTACCGGGTACCTCTGATTCTGAGGATGATGTGGATGCCATTTCAAATCGATTGTGAGGTTCTTCACCTATGTCTGAACACCTCAACGTCAGTAATTGGACGGAAAATAAATGAAAACAAAAGTTATTTCTTGCCTTTCATCATCATGATCCCAGAGTTTGTCGAGTATACATACTTTCCAGTCTTTCTTCTCCAGGTCTCAAATTCTCCGCTGTTGCCTCCTCTCTTGCCTCACTCTTTATTCCCTCAAAGGTCGTTGGAAAATGTGACATTCAGGGATTTTGCAGTTCGAAATGGTAAAGTGGCAGAAGTGAATTGAAGTTGCAATCGAGGTTGAGGTTGAGAAGGTTTAAATACCTATCAACACAGACCTCTCCGAAAAACCAGGAGACATGCAGCTGTGAATTACTGTTAAAGTAACAGTAGGTGCTGATAGTTCACATTCTGGAAAAGTACCCAGGTACACAATCAGGGTCTCAGAAACCCCGTGCGGACGTCATTCAGAACTTAAAACTTTGAGAGAAGTTTGAGAACTTTAAGCTTTACGAGAAGTTTGGAAAGAATCTCGATTCTCCACACACCCTGGCCATCTAGCCTTTCTACCGCACTTTGAACTCGGCCCTAGCCCCCTGTGATCTTCAGTGTTATGAATGATTTGATATGTTAATTGAAAATAACGAAAGTAGAACCGACAAACGAAATCTTCTACAATAGTATCCAAAACCTTCAGATCATATCACTTCCCTTCAAAAACCACCCTGCATGCTTCATCTCCCCTCTCCTCTCGCCAAGAAAGGAGGGAAGAGGATAGACGGGATGGGGAATCGATAAGAATCGAAAGCCCCATCTCGAGGGTTAGGGGAAGATGAGAGGGGAAGGAAGGAAAGAAGGAAAGAGGAGAAGTCAGGAGAGGAATGGAATGGGGTTTGAGGAGAGGATATGGAGGAGAGCTGTGATGAAGTAACAGCGGGGTTGTTTTATACATCTGTCCCTTTACTTTTCAAATGATCTAATGAACTATGATGGTTTGGCGAGGAACACCAGTCTTCTTTAGAAAAATGAGATACTAGTGGCATCTGTCGAATCCTATATCTAACCCATCTTCGATCCGAAAGTCAGTGACTTCACCACCCATAAGTCTCAAAGTAATAATGAGGTTTGAAAGATATTGGAAGAAAAAGCTGTCATATTTGACTTCATGTGCACTTGCAAGGCCAAATATTGAATTCTCTACTGGTTGTTGGTGGTTGGATGTGCATGCTTGAGGTGATATCGAAATAATTTCCAAACCTGCCCAGATCTAGTTCTCTGATCAATTCTCTCTAATTTTCATCTACCCGAATGTATATATGTATACAAGAAAACACGTCTCTATAACAAAACCACGGTATCTATGCATCCCATTTCGAATTTCCACACTCCGTCTATCGCTTTTCAAAATCCTTAGAAATCTCCCAATCATCACAAAATTCTCACAACCTTCAATTCCCCCTCTCCACCATCAACCTCCACCCAACCACCTCCTTCAATCCTCTTTTTCCACTTATTACTCTCATCTCTCGCCGTCACAATTGTCATTCTCAGCACTACACCTTCACCTTGGCTACTCTCATGTTCCTTTTCCAATTGTTGCTCTTCCATTTTTGTGCTTGTCCAGCGACCAAAAGCCCAGTTGAGTATGTACTTTGCAGGTTTTGGTGTGAGATCAGAAGTAGAATTTGATGAGGATGAGGATGCAGAGATGTCGGATTCGGGAGGCGAGAGTGAAGAATCAGAAGGTGGAATGGGAGAACTTGAGGATAAAACTGCTTTGATGCGGTATACTTCATCTTTAGGTGCTTTGGTGAGGAGTTTGTTGAGAGAAGCGAGAGATATTGTTGAGGAGGGAGAAGATGATGTGAGGGTAATAGATAGGACTTCGACTTCAGATTGATGGTCGTGAGAATGTTCGTGTTTGTGATCACCGTTCTTATGATCATGACTGTGACCATTTTCCTTTCCATCAACGTCATCAACCAACCCCCTCGCCAATCCACCGTCAACTCCGCACACAACATCTACCCCAACTGACCCCTTATCACTCTTGACCCAAGCAACCTGAACCTCCAAATCCCCTAACCTGTCCAGGCATTCGTCAAACCTTCTCTCACTCACCCCCTCCCACTTATTAAAAACCACCAAGTCCGTATATTTTGCCTGTAGTCTCGCCGTATAACTCGTATCTTCGTACCCCTTCCAATTCTCCACATCAATCACCGAAATCACACCATCCAACACATAAGCCCCCTTTGTTTCCCTCGCAATCCTATTAACTTCCATAGCCAACGTAGCAGGGAAAGCCGACCCAGATGTTTCAATTATGATTCTATCCAAACTTCCCTTCTCTTCCTCCCCAGTTGATTCATTGACTTTGACTGGTAAACTTTCCTGCAGTTCCTGAAGCGCCGAAGATAGAGAACCGACGAGGTTACAACATATACATCCGTTGAGCATTTCCCGCACAGAAGTTATAGAAGATGAAGATGCAAGTTGGGAATCGACAGCCAAATCTCCGAACTCGTTTTTGAGAAGAGCGAGACGGTAGGAAGGGTTAAGGGCGTGTAGTTGTGGGAGGAGGTTGAGAATTAAAGTTGTTTTTCCTGAACCGAGGAAGCCGGTAAGAATGGTTATAGGGATTGGCGACATGATGAGAGGATTTTGGGTCGTGTTGAAAGGGTTGTAGTGAGATTCGTGGTGTTTTGGAGTGGCAGTGATGAGGAGATGGTAATAATTGGAACACTGACGGAGGGGTAGTGGAGGGGGGCACTTGGGAAAAAGAAATTCTCTTATCGGTTGACCTTATCGCTTCACCCATAACCTTATTGGTGTATCCACCAGATCAGTCATTTTCAAGGGACAAGCTCGAGCTTTAACCTTAAAGCATTCAATTTGGTAAAAGATATATTTGATGAAATGCAGGTACCTCATAGCAACAGTTTAACCCTTCATTGCTGCTGGTTCAGAACACTGGAACTAAAATTGCTATCTCTCATCAATTGGCAGAAACAGTTGAAAGTTCAATTGATCCCTCTCCTAACCATAACTCCCCACTCGTTGCCGTCTCTCTTTCTCCCTCGGCCAATGCTTCACGAGGTGCGAGCGTATCACACTATATTCCAGTGATTTGGGACAAGAAACGTACTCAAGTGCCGTCACATGTACTCTATCTGGGCGTCTGACAAATTCTACCATGATTGGACCTGAAAGTCTCGGAGAATGTTTCGAATAGAGCGCGGGACGGGAGTCCTACGGCTTCTTACCACGAAACCACGATGGCGGAGATGAGCTCAAGTTGTTGGCATTCGCCACGAATTCATGTTATGATCCGTGAAAATTCGATCGGGGAACACAACATTGATTGATTGCATGTTTCCTTTTGTTGTTTTTGGCTTGGCAGTTGGTTGAGACTGTGCCTTCAAGGTTATCAGGTGAGAATCATGGGATGAGGAGAGATTCTTGACAGCGTAGGTATCTAGCTGCATGAGAAGGGTTTTGAGCAAAGAGTTTATGGAGTAAGCCTTACAAGTCCAGAAAGGTCTGAGCGATTTATTCGTCGATCTCCCCGTGAAGTAATTTCCACATGTCCACTTAGGTACAGATCATAGCATCAAAATTCGTTTAGCATCTTATCTTTTTCTCCGAAGTAGGACGGGACGTGCAACCATCTTTGCGCTGATGTCTATTTTCTTCAACTCACCGCAGACGCGTGTGCGTGAGGATGTAACATGGCACCACGGCACGACACTGCATTATGCAGGAGAACGATTGAGGTACAAGTCGAGAGCATGGTTCAAAAACCAATGGAGAGAACATAATGGTATCATATTGAGAATCAAATCCTTGCTTGTGCCACTGAGTTGTTGACGCTGATGTTATCATCGAGCTCTTCCTGAGTCCGTAGGAATATGAATCAATCGAATAGTCGAGAGTAAGCGGCTGACAAAAGAAAGATTACTGCCGCCCTTTTTACATCATGATCCCAAGTTTACGTGTTGCAATGAGGGGCTAAATCAGATAGTGTCCTTGCCGCCGATTATTGTAACGCTTCACGGACATTTGTTTGGAGCTGTTCTTTGGTCATGTCGAAGCTCAACACTGCACGCAATCAATGCTACCCACGCATCCCTCGATAAGATATTGGAAAAGCCTATCGTCGATTGAAGGTTGTCCTATGTGAACTGCCGTGTTTTCGAACTTGATGTGCTTGTATTATTCACATGTGTATCCCAATCATGGAAACATCAGCCACATTCAATCACCCCCAGAAACGAAAGGATCAAAGAAGCTCATTTGATTTCGGCCATAACCCAGCCAAGGCATGAAACCATGGAACCATCCTTTTCATGATTTCATCGAGGCTGATGAACAAGAAAATGAATAAAGAGATGGTTATAATCTTATCGTATACTCCTGAGGTCACGCTGAAAGGATTAAAGGTTATTCATAGGATTGTAATCTTACCAGGGAAGCTTTAAAGTGACTGATTGATCAATTGATGAATACAAGATCTGATTATTCCAGGAATGGACAGGGAGCGCCAAATGCCCATGAGATGTATTTCTTTTTTTGGTGGTTCATCCGAATTTTGATGGATTGTTTTGCATCAGATATGCGGACCTTGTTCTTATCGGAAGGTCATGTCTATGTCTTAATTAGGGTCGTAAATCGAAGAGGATTCAAGAGAAGATACTGATCTAAAATTGTAATTGCCATAGTTAATTATCACGACAATTTTCTAGTCTGATAGACATAGACATAGACCACGAAAATATGAATAATCTCCTGATTTCAATATCAACGAGATTCCCCTCCACAGAGTCGGACAATTGAAATGATTTTCATGACGTGCAGTATGACCTAGTTACTCTATTCCATTTAATGAATGTCTATATTGTAACTTACTTATTATATGGTTGGTGTGAGGTAGATTACATATTACGAAACTTCAAAAGCTTAAGAGTAGATCATTTTATCCACTAGATTTTCATGAGGTTATTAAATTAAAGACGCCCTTAGGGGGAAAAGAACGGAAAAAAAACCATCTACCCCCAGAAGAGAAGGTTTGATTGGTGAGTGTTTTTACGGTGTTTGTATGTATGGCAACTAATGAATCCAGATTTGATGACTGGGTTTGCCGTTTCAAAACAGTAAACTAAACGCCAAGTAGCCGAGTTAGTTAAGAATGGACATGGCTTTTTGGTCAATGAGGTCTAGAAATGACTGGGATATTTCAAAGGGATCTGTATCTGATGCCTCTGCAAACTGTTTGCCCCTTCTTGAGATCTTTCCACTCAGATAGCCCCCCAATGGCAAGATCCATGTAATCGGATGGCAATCCAGACGTCAAGAACTAAAGACCAACCGATTTCTCATGCCCGATGATTCGAGCACCCCTAACACTACAATATGGCTTGCTACCTCAATGGCTATTCACTTGGAGCACATTTCCGCCCGGATCTCTTTTCATTCTCATACTCCCTACCCCTACCAAACGTTTCATTTACTGACCTGTCATGTTGGAATATTTCACTTTGATTCTCTAATTCTTGGGTAGGTTAAGGTTAGCGAATAGGAATCATACTTGGGGAAAATAGAACCGTGTCACTCTATCTAGTTTCCCCTGCATCCTAATCTTCCTCCTTCATACATGTACTAGCGTATATTCATATGGTTTCCCGCCTTGGGGTGGGTAACACTGCAGTTTTGTAAGAGACTACAGGTCAGAGTCATAAAATATAAGATTCCATACTTTTCTGTATTATGGTTCTTTTCCTCACCCTCTTTTGAAGTTCCTCCTCAACACACTTTCGTACTTTGGTACACCACATTCATTTGCTCATTCTCTGCGTGCTATTCATTCCTTCATTTGCTACTCTGTTGATACAGAATCTTCTATTCCATCCAAACATCAATTGAGGCCAGTCACTCTTGGGTTTTTCGTTCACTTTTCAACAGCCCTTCAGCTTTCAAAACAGTCACTTTACAGATATCAGCACCATCAGACTGGAATACATTTCAAAGTACATATTCTACAATCAACCTCCTCATTTACACTCACTCACTCCATCATTATGCTTTTCTCAACATTGGCCCTCGTCGGCACATTCGCCGCTTCGTCCACTGCATACTCTGCAACTGCAAGAACTTTCGCTGTCAACCATTTCTATGGAACAGAACCTCTTCTTACCGCCCGTATAGATCCAATTGTCAACCCAGGAATCGTTGGAACACACGTGCATACGATCCAAGGAGGAAGTGCTTTTGGTATGACCATGGGGGATACCACTGCTTTACATGATTCTAACTGCACTTCCTCCCTTGTCAAGAATGATAAGAGCAATTATTGGACCCCTTCCTTGTATTTTGTGGATCCAAACGATCCCACCAATATTACATCCGTACCTATGTTCTACATGAACGTTTACTACTTGTAAGTGACGGATTTTATGCATTTTGATAATAGTCATACTGATATCTTCAAAGCTTCGAGCCCACTACCGACAAGATCACCGCTTTCCAACCAGGACATCGAATGCTAGTTGGAAATGCAGCTCTTCGTACTCCTCCAGCAGGAGGTGGAGCATCCATTGTCGATTATTCTCTCGGAACACCCCAACCCATCCAAGTCACCTGCCCACGTTCTAATTACGATACTCCATCTTACCCCGCCAACTCCGACGGATTACACGGAGTAGGAATTCAGGACCCGCAAAACAAGGGAGCAGGTGTTGGATTTCCAGATCAAGATTGTAATGGATATGCTTCGCCAATGCGTCTCGATGCTCACTTTCCTTCTTGCTATAATCCTGCTGCTGGACTGACTGATTATAAGACAAATATGGATTGGCCTACAAAGGGAAATTGTCCTGAGGGTTGGATTCACACTCCTCATATTTTCTATGAGGTTTATTACAACACTCCTCTTTTTGCAAGTCAATGGACCCCGGGTCAAGGAAAACAACCTTTCGTTCTTGCGAATGGAGATCCAACTGGTTATGGATTCCATGCTGACTTTGTAAGTTGACATTTTCTCAAGCAGAATGTATCTGATATACTAACACATTCATAGATCTCGGGCTGGGATGTAGAAACTCTCCAACAAATAATCGATAACTGCGATGCAGGTGATAGCGGTATGGATAAATGCCCAGGTCTCATCGGTGGCCTCAATGATCCAACCACATCCTGCACTATCAAATCACCAATCGATGAAATTGTTACCGGTACTATGTCTGTGCTGCCAGGTAGTAATCCTATTGGAAAATGGGGCTCTGCTGCTGCCAGCGTCGCTTCTTCTGTCGTCGCATCTGCTACCTCTGGTATCGCTTCTCAAGCTTCTTCAGCTGTTTCTTCGGTTGTATCTGGTACTTCTTCCGTTGCTGCTTCGGTATCAAATGTTGCATCATCTGTACTAGGAGTTGCTACATCAGCAGCAAGTATTTCCATTCCAAGTATTTCTTTACCCCTCTACCAGACCCCATCTTCAACTCCAGCCTCATCCCAACAATCTCAATCCCACACCCGCAGTGGCGCTTCCACAAAAGTCGCAGCAGCATCTCCAGCCGCTAGCGAAGTCGTATCTTCCAGCGTCATCACATCCGGAGGTCAAGTCTTCACATCCGTTCTCACCGTCCACGCATCTACACTCATCTACAAAACCGTCTCCGTCACCGCAGGTCAAGTTCTTCCCACCGGTTCCATCGTCTCTTCTAGCACCCCGGCTGCTGTTTCCGGATACACATATTCTGGTTGTTACGCAGACCAAGAAACAAATCGTGCGCTTTCTGGCGTTACATTTGCCGATGTGGGTAAAGGTGCTGTTTCTAACTCAGCATGTGTGGCATTCTGTGAGGGAAAAGGATATAGTGTTGCGGGAACAGAATATGGGGGACAGTGCTTCTGTGGAAACAGTTTACCGAGTCAGAAAGTCGATTCGAGTGAGTGTACCATGGCGTGTGAGGGGAACAAAAATGAAGTTTGTGGGGGTTCGCTGGCGTTGAGTGTTTTTGAGAAGAGTGCCGCGAGTAAGGAGAAGAGAAGATCGAGACATTTGCATAGACATGTGCAGAGGAATTAGAGGGGTTGGTGTCTAGCGGGTTATCTCTGTTGCAGGGCACTGGTGACTCGGTATGGTATGGGTGTTAAGGTGGATGGTGTGAGGGAACATACAACATACAAACATAACTTTCTTTCTTGCTAGGCGAGCCCTTTTATTTATTTATTTATTCATTCATTCGTTCATTCTTTCTTTCTTGAACAAACTTTTAAGGGATACCTACGGGAAGCAATTTGATTTGAATTGATAGGGTAGAAATTCTTTTTTGAAAAAATATCTCGAATGATCAAGACTTCTTAACTCATGACATGGTTTTTGATGGATTCTATGTTAGCTATAAGATTGAGATTGAGATTGAGATATGTAATAATTATAAAATTTATATTTGATAATCTTTGATTGTATTGTATGTATCATTTGGTATCATTTTGGTTTGTAATGTGATGGGATATGATTTCTTGTCTTGTCTTGTCTTGTCTTGTATGTATCCTTTGTGTTCTGATGCTTTGGTGCTTGGGGACTATCGGAATGAGATAGTAAAGGTTGTGAGGGTTGTGAGGGTTGTGAGGGGGGGAGGGGAGTTTAGGTGTGGGATTTGTTTTTTGAGTAGATTGGGTGGTTATAGAGTGGGTTGTGTGGTGATGTGATTGGTTGGGGTAAAGGTAGGGTGTAAGTTTGATGGTGATGTGAGTTGGGATATTGATGTGAGTTTGATAGTGATGTGAGTTGGGATATCGATATAGATTGGATTGTTAGATGTATTGAGATGTTATTATGGATTTGGGTAATTATAAAGAATCTGGATAAAGATGTGAGTTAGGATGTTGATATAGATTCGATTGTAAGATGTATTGAGATGTTATTTTGAGTTTGAATGATGTAGGTTAGGATAATGATGTGAGTTTGAATGATGATGTAGATTGGCAATAGGATATGGAGATCAAGTGGAATATTGGGAAGTATTAGAATAATGATATAGGTTGATTAAATCATCAATAGGAATGAAGAGACTGAAATGAATTTGAATAATGATATGAATCAGAACAATCACAGGGTTTGAAAGGGAGAGGCATGAACTGCAAAGAGTTCCCCTTTATATCCACTAATAAGAAACTTTCAAGTCTTCCCCCTTTCTAAACTCTCCTCCCACTCCCCTCCCCTGCTACTTCAATTCCAACAACCAATTAATCAAACAACTGAACACTTACTACATTACAAGAACCCCCTCTACATAAATAAACTCACTATACCATACCACACCACACCACACCACACAACTAATCACATCCCATCCCAATACACAGATCTACTCCTCTCCTCCTCTCCTCAATAACAATATAATCACCATCACCATCCCCATCGCCAACCTAGCACTCAGCCTCAATAACATAAAACCCACTCCCCTTCTACATCCTACCTTACACCACCTCACTCCGCAAGGAATCTGCATCACTACTAGGATTTAACAATCCGCTCGACTCGGCTCGGCTGTGTGGTGTGGTGTGATCCACAGTGCAGTGTGCAAATTCAAAATAACCCACGTTAAGTTGAATCTTGGTAGTCGAAGTTCAAAGCTCGAAGTAAGAATTCGGAGTATCAGTTTGATTTCGTAGATCTTCGGAATAATGGGTAAAATTGTATGGAATTCGGTTGCTGAATTGAGGAGCTGCATCGATATCGGTATCTACATCTACATCTTGTTTGTGAGACCTGGCACTTGTGGATCGATGATGAGTCTGAGGTTGAGGTTGAGGTCGAGATTGAGTACGAGTATGAGTTTGAATATCTTGATGGCATTGTGGTGGTGGGGAGTAGTTGAGCTATGCGATTTACTCGTTATTTTGGATTCTATCAGATTTGTGACGTGTGATTTTGTTTTGGAGAATGTTGTGGGTGTGAGTGGTGGGAGTGGTGAGATTGGTGTTGAGTTGTTTACTATTGTTGACTGATCAGTCATTGAGCTTCTTTGGAGAATGTTAGGAATTAGAAGAGATATATGGAGGAAGATTGAGGAGATGAACTCCCACCTGAAATCATAAATATCTACTCTAGAATCAATCATTTACCGAGAATATCGAAGCGAGGAAAGAGTGCATCATACAACTTGAACTACCTACATAATGCCATCTACTGTGTATAGGACAATAAGTCCTCCACAGGTTCAACCGGAACAGATGTGCGAGCGAGATTGGGAGGAAAGAAGAAAGAGAAAGGTGTAAGTTAATGTGTATTTTGGGGATAGTTCAGAGTTGTATGGATATGCTACGTGATGGGCAAAATGGATTAGGAGAATGGTTTTGAAGGACTGGGGAGATGAGGTATAATTGAATGCTGTGTTCTAATTTTTTGCTGGAATTTATGTGCATGTCATATCACATCGTATCGCTTAGCTTGATAGTTTTAAGACATAGGAAACGAGTCGATATGGCGTGCACATATAGCCCAAGATATACTTTTAACTTAATTGCAACATAATACACAACAGTACATCAACCAAGAAATACATCAAGAAATGGTCTTGAGCTCAGTGTTTCAGTACCCGCGCAAGTATACAGTGATCCCTTCATCCCTTCATTCATGTGTTCATTCATTCATACAGCCACAACTTCTAACTTGATCTCGAACGCCCTCTCAGATTTTATTCCAGCATAGTCACAAGTCATGAATATAAATACCCCTCAAGATGAAACCCAAGCCATCAATTAGAGATATCGAATTTTGCAGGAGTTAGTTCATATATATCAATTTGATGGTTTGTTGGTTAGAAATGCAGCGTTTGTGGAATGTATACCAAGTATGAAACTCATAACATCGACATTGATCATTACTGATTACAAATATAATTCATCCCTCATCAAAAAAATTGCCATTGCTGTGTATACTCCCTAGGAGACAGAGTTATGGTCTCTACGAACGGGGTGATGGTATCGGAGATATATCAAAATGCTGGAACAAAAGATATCTATATCCTTTACCTCTACCTCAAACTCCATATTCATATACTTCACTCTATCTATCTATCACTTACTACTTTCTATTTATTTATCATTGCCTCCACCTATCTTTCCTACCTACTCAATCTCTATCCCTATCACCTCCCATCCACCCATCCCCTCCTCCCACTACAAAAAGCATACACTTTAAATTCCCCTTTAACTTCAAATCAAATATACAGAGCTTCCAAGTCCCAAGTGCCAACTCCCAACTCCCAATTTGCAAGCTCAACATATACCTAATTTACCTATCTCTTGATCTCAGTATCTCCCTCGAGATATTCAGATCCTGCATATCATCGAAATTCGAAAGAGTTGAATGATACTCTCATCGAGTGAGTGCGTGATATATAAGATTACAGTTCAATTCAATTTGATTCAATTTCATAATAAGTATCCACTGAAGTCAATAGCTAGCGATATATTTCAAGTGTATGAATATTTACTCACCCCCCTACCCACCTACCTATCTAGGTATGCATATAAAGTATCTACCTTTCCCTCCCTTCCCAGTACTTACTATATCTAAGAAGAGATATATACAAAACAAAACAAATCACAACAAATCACAACAAATTACAACACAACACAATACAACACAAAAAACAACAAACACCCAAACTATCACTCAATATCAATCAAGAGCTCAAGGATATCAAAAACAACGAAGACAACGAATATCAAGTCGCCCTGGGTAAAAAACATTTTACTATACTTCATATAAAAGTTAATTCCTCCACCCTCTGCCCTCTAGATTCTAGATTTTAGATTCTAGATACCCACTCAAATGCTCAAATATTAATATTAATATTAATGCTATAAATACATCTCAATCGAAATTAATATAATAAGCAGAAAGAAAGAAAGCACGACCGAAATGAATGAATAAATAGGGATGAAATGACATGGATAACCGTCAGCGCGCAGCACATGCACATAGTAAGATCTTATATAAAGAATCTCTACACCGGACCTGAATTAGTGAGTTATATACATATAAATGCACACGCATACCCAAACTCACACTAACAGTCAGTAATCGCAATGGATACCAAACCCTCTCCTCTACTCTACTGTACTCTATTCTACTCTGTACACAGCACGAAATTCACTCAAATGCACTAGATAGAAAGATAGACGAGCCGTGCGGAAAAATCCAAATCCAAATCCAAATCCAAATCCAAGTACCTGTCACAGAGGTGAGAAGATTACAGGTTATATGTGGTGACAAAAATTGAAAAATTGAAAAATTGAGCATATCAAAAAAATCGCCACAACCAGAAAAGTTACTTTACTCCCAACCCCAAAGAATATCTTCCTTCTCTTTTCCCCCTCAGCTCTCCATACACTCACAACCCCTCTCTCCTATCCCAAACAAAACAAGACTCTAGCACCATATCCCCTCCTCATAGCTTCAACAAGACTCCTGCGCCGCCGCCACAATTGTCGTAAACCTCTCCACCATGGCCTCAGCATCATCATCCCATACTCTTATCACACCACATTCCCTCTATATATCCAAATCCCATCTCCAAATCCAAATCCAAATCCAAATCCAAATCCAAATCCAAATCCAAATCCAAATCCAAATCCAAATCCAAACCCAAATCTATCCAACCAACCAACCAACCAACCAACAAACACACTCAACAATTTAATTTTCTCTCTCTCTGCCCCCCCCCCCCCCCAAAAACATAACCTCAGCATCATCTCGATATATTCCAAATCTATACATAATATTCCGCCTGGAGAAAAAGAAACAAATGGTAAATACTTATATAAATACACATATACACATATACACACACACACACACACACACATACATACAAATCAAACCTTCTCCAAAATCTATCTACCAAATCTCAACACATCAACACATATTCTACCAAATCCTCACAATATACGAATTACAAATCGTGACATCTGCAATTCGAAAGGGGATTTTGGAAGCCAATCAAAAGTGTGAAGAATATTTGTTCTTCACTCACCTGGAAGGTGTTGGAGGGTAAAGGGATTTGACGGTTA